CCCCATTTTGCTGCGGCGTGTAGGCGACTGAAAGCTGGTGGGTGATGCCCTTGTCTTCAAGGAAAGACTCCAGATCCTTCCCCATGTACTTCCCACCCCGATCGGACCTAAGTATTTTCACCTTGGCCCCGGCTTCCCTCTTCGCATAGCATATCCAACGCTTGAACACCTTGGCCACCTCAACCTTGGTTTTCACCAAGGTAACCCAACTTAGGCGGCTGAAGTCATCCAAGAAGGTGATGAAGTATTTGCTGCCCTTCTCCCTATCCGGTGTTTGCATGGGGCCACACACATCCGTGTGCACCAACTCAAGAGGTGCGGAGGCTCTAGTGGTGGAGGTAGGGAAAGAGGTCCTTAGCAGCTTCCCGGTCGTGCAATCAGGGCACTTGCTTTGCTGCCCACCACCCTCCTTGATCTCCACACCCTTCAGCTCCCCCTTCTTCACACACTCCACAAGTTGCTGCCTTCCTGCATGCCCCATGCGTAGGTGCAGCAAATCTGTCGTCACCTGCTCCACGTCCCTCCAACGGCTGCTACAAGCGGCTTCCTCGGCTTCAACTCCATGTGCCTCTCCACCTGAGGCACACAAACTGGAACAAGGTATAGGCCCTTCTCTAATTTGGCCTCCATCACCACAGCTCCACCCTTGCCAACGGTGCCACCTTCCATGGTGAAGGTGCATATGTATTCTTGCCTCGCAAGTTGAGAGCATGAGAGAAGGTTGGCTGCCAAATCAGGAACATGAAGCACACCCTTCACATTCAGCACCTCCCCCTCCTTCCCCATGACGGTGATGGTGCCGATGCCGATTGCTTGCAGCGTATCTCCGCTCCCCACAATCACATTTATGGAGTTAGGTGGGAGGGAGTGATAAGTAGTGAAGAAGTCGCGCCGAGGTACCATTCCACAGGTTGCTCCAGAGTCCAAAATGAGCTGATTGGGGTCAGCCAACGTACGACCAGCAAGCGCCATCTCCTTCTCTAGGGATAAGAAGGAGAAGCCATCATCCGATAAGTCCTCCTTTCCCTTCTTATCCTCGTTTGCCGCCGCTGCTGCCGCTTTCTCTTTGCTGCCCTTCTTCTTCCATGCTCCGTTCTTCATCCTCCTCTCCACCCACTCAGGCCTAGTGACAGGTGGAGCCTCTCCTGGGTACCCTTGAGGCTTCCACCCATCTGGTCAACTCCAGCACTCCTTCCAAGAGTGCTTCCGGTTGCATCCAGGGACGAGGCACTTGTCGAGCTCCTTCTTCTTCCCCTCACCTCCGTGCCGCTGCTAGTATTTCTTGGAGGCAACCCTATCACCTGCCCCCATTCCCCCTTCAACTCCTCTACCAGCATCACGCTTGCGAGCCTCATCAGAAACCAACACCTCCCATATCCAGGCCTTGGTCCATTTCTGCTGCTCTAGGTGAATGTATTGTAGTAGAGCCTCGTTTGCTTCTTGGTCCAGCCCCTGGAGTGCCGTGTAGATGATCTCCTTCTCATCTAATTCATAGTTCAGCTCCTCCAATGCCCTCACATACCCATCCACCCTCTGGAGGTACTGCACCATGGTCTCCCCATCGCCATAGTTGCGTTCCATGGTGTAGAACCGCTTCCTCCAGGTGAGTATGCTTAACAACCCTTTTTGCAAATGTCGATCTTGAACTCTCTTCCATGCTAGTGCAGCTGCTCCTTGCTTGCCCTTTAGGTCAATCAGCATCTTTAGGAGCTCTAGTTGGCCTTCGAAGGCCCAACACAGGTACTGGAACGCTTGCTTGTCCTTGCGGTCCCATGCTTCTTGTGCCTTAAGAAGCTCCTCTGCACTAAACCGTTGCCTTCCGGTTCGCGGTGCTGTTGGTCCACCTCCACTTCCCTCAGTTATGGATGAGCTAGAGGCTCCCCCAGCCCCTTCTCCTACTTGGCTAGAGACTCCAGTAGATGCCTTTCCTTCATCAGCTTCAGGTCTTCGCTCCGATCCCTCCAAAACGCCTTCTAGGTCTTTGATACCTAGCCAAAGCATAAACTGGAATCGCCATAGCGAAAAAACCGAGCCGGTGAACCTAGGAGGGCCATCTAATTTCTGGGCCATGACCAACCCTAGATCTAGAGATTCTTAAGCCAATTCGTAATATGATAATAGGAGGGATTGTCGCAGGCCTAACCAGCTCTGATACCACTGATGGAAAGCGCGTGAATCTGGAGAGCGTACAAGAGATTAAGTCCGCCGACTTCGACGGAACATTGCGTGAAGCTCACGAAACCTTAAACTATGAGTAGGTACGCGTTGGAACGGTCTTAATCTCTACTTTCCAGAATGGTAACGCACGCTTTCAACCAAGATCTAGGCCAATCGCTATCGCGATTTAAGTGCAAAGGTGTATTCTGGCGGAATTAGTAGGCAGCCATGGATTAGACCAAAAGACTAGCTTTAGCAAGAGTTCAGATCTGAAAAGTGACGAGCTGTTCAAACCCTACCAACCCAACCCTCGCCCTACAACAATCCCCAAGAACCCAAAGTGCTAAACTAGCAACACCAAAGGTGTTGTAGTGAATAGCAAAGGTTTGTTGGTGCTTGTTGGGTGCGAGATCAATAACAGCCCGCAACAAGTCTAACCACCACATTTTGTCCAAACCCTTAGCCCACAACCAGCTATAGCAAAATACCACAACCACCTACACAATCAACAGAGGCTACGGTTCAGCTCGTCGTACCACCCCGAGACCGACGGTGAAACGAAGCGGACGAATCAGACGATGGAGCAGTTAATTCGTGCCACATGCGACGACCCGACATCTTGGGAGCAGCAGCTGCCGCTGATCGAGTTTGCATACAACAACGCCACACCAGCGACGACGCAGCAGGCCTCGTTCTACCTGAAATACGGGCAAAACCCAACATTGCTCATGATGCCGAGTCCGGACAACCCGACGTCACGGACTGAACAATTCGCCGAGATTCTGGAAGCTGCCCGCACTAGAGCCGTCGAAGCAATTAAAAAAGCAAATGTCATCGCTAAGTGCAACGCTGACCGCGATTGCCGCCCCGTCACGTACCAGTCAGGAGATTACGTACTGCTCGACACTCAGAACTTAAGACTGCCCGTAGTACCGAAATTACGACCGCGCTACTGTGGACCATTCCAAATCAGCCACATGATTACCCCAGTGCCAGCACACTTACTGTTGCCAACAGAGTGGTACATCAGCCCATCATTCCACGTCAGCCTGCTTCGCCCCTACATCCCAACCACAAGCCAACTGACTCGTCATCGCCCGCCATCCATGACTCGCCCTGCATCGGAGCCGATCATCGAGCCCGAAAAAATCCTGAGCCATCAGATTCGACACCCCACGGGAATAAGGAGGATTGAATTCCTCGTTCGCTGGAAGGACCGCATGCCAACTGAGGATAGTTGGGTGCCCCTAGCCAACATCGAAAACCACCCTGCCGTGCAAGTGTACTGGAGGAGCCGGGGTTTCCGCGAAATACACGCACTCGCGTAGCGGAGGGGGCTTCTTGAGGGGGGTGTAGTGTAATGAATTTTCTCGACATTCCTTAGCGCATCCGGCAACATCGTGTACAGCAACAGCCGTTGTTCGCCCATTACTGCTAACGGGGCTTCGCCGTCTTCGCGCGCACTGTTTCATCAAACCTCGCACTGCTGGCCCGGTCGTATCGGCCTACGCTTCGGGACTAGCCCGAACCTCGCTGTCGGTGTAGCACTAGCTAGCTCGCACGCACCGCGTTATCGTTTGCATGTTTCGCATATAAATGTTTGCTCATGCCTGGCTCTGATTTTGTACTCGTTTGACACCTAGTGCAATTCTCGGCTACCTAGATTCATTGCACCCCTAACATTTGGAGACAACAGACAACCTACAGCTTTGGGTTATGAAGGCGTGCCTTATGAATGTGGGCTCAGTAGATCTTTGGGTTATGCCATTCATGACTTGGTGAGGCCTTTCGGGCGGAGTTGATTGTAGGGGAAATAGATGTGCACAAACTGCGTGGGTGCCGAAACTGCGAATGGTGTTCTAGGTCTTGGAACGCGCTACTACCGAAACCCGCAATTTGCGCATGCTGAGTGTACCCTGCGGGCGGGGGATGGGGTTGGGGGGTGGAACTGCGCGCTCCTCCTGTCTTGGCGCTCCAAGCGGACCCTACTGTCCCCTACTTGACGCGTTCCCTCGCCTCCCCCTACTGCGCGCTGCGGACCGCCTTGTCCACTGCTCTCTCATCAATCTCAACGCATTCAAAATCTGAAATCCAGTTCCGTCTTTTCTATCGGATTCAGAAACCTTTTCTAGCATCGGAACGAAACAGCGCAGCGTCTCTGCTTCAGAGCAAAGTTGCCCCCCGCCGCGTTCTCCGCTTTTGTCTTACGTGCACACGAGCCTTCTTTGTGCCTGTTTTCATAATTCTCCTTGCTCTGCTTATATTGGATGCTGCTCGCGTCGCCAAGCCGCCCTCGCACGCTCCGAGCGAAATAGGGTGGAAAATGAGCCTCAACAGCGGCGATTGAAACACCAGATCGCCGTTACGACAGATTTCTCCTTTCTTCATTTAGTTCTACCATCAAGATTCCCCCCTCTTCCACTGAAATTCGCCTCACTTTCGTCGCAACGTAGAAGATACTACAGATTACAACATTGACACTGCGAAGCCGGCGTAACAATAGCAGTCTGCGCTTTACCTGCGGACCGCTATCGCTGGCTCCGACGGCAGAAGTTTAGGTTTCAGTTAAGAGAGATGTCTTTATCCTCCTCCTCCGCGCAAATTTCGCCAAAGTTTATCCGCGTCTAGCGCCAGCAACATGAGACTTACTGAGGCAGTAATGCGCATGTCGCAGGGTCGCGTCGCAGAAGCAGGTTTACTTCGTGACGACGTCGCACGCGACGACGACGCGTCCGCCGCCGCCGACGGCAACGACAGTGACGATGGCGACTGCAGCGACGACTTCGGCGGCGACGGCGGCGGCGGCGGCGGTGAGAACCATCACCGCAATTCTCTCCGCCGCAATGCCGTTGCCGCCAGTCACCGCACCGGCGTGCGCGTCACTCCGTCGCTCGGAGGCTCTTACGGCGTCGCGTCGTCCGATGCGACGAGATATGCGGCAGGAGATGCGGCGGGAGATGCGGCGGCGATAGACACGGCATTGGCTGAGCTGCAACGCGGCGGCGCGAGCTCGGAGGCTCGGCCGGATTCGAGCGCCATTGCGGCACTAGTGAACTCGGATGGGCACAGGTGGATCAAGTACGGCGAGAAGCGCATATGCGACAACAAAGCATTCAGGTAGCTACTTACCTCCTCCTCCTCCTCTTACGATGTTGTCGAAAAAATAAGCTCCCAATTTTGCTCGCCGCGTCGACTCCGCGTTCGCCGCGGTCGAGTCGACTCGCTCCAACGGAAGTTCGAGGGGAACCTGAAAAAGGCGATCGTTTTTTTCCGCGGAGAGGGATTTGTGATAGTTGCTGTTGAACAAAGATCGTTTAGAGAAATGTTTGCTGTTCCCCCGGTGCTCGTCACGAACGCTTCTGCTTTTGTTCTCTGTCTTTTCTCCACCGCACGCAGGGCACTGCCCTACACTACACTACATTGGATAGTCCTTTCCGCCTTTGTGAATCTTCACTTCGAGAGGCTCTTGCGCTTCCGCCTTCCCCTCCTCCCTTCCCCGCTGTTTCCGCACGTCTCACCCCGCTTGTGAGTCCTCTCCTCCGCCTCTGCCCCGCCGCGTTTCCCCCCCAGGGCTTATTACAAGTGCACGTGGGCGCGCGCGTGCCTGTGCTGTCGCGCGCGCAAGATCGTCGACTTCCACCCGGCGCACCCGGACCGCACGACCATCGAAGCGCGCCACGAGCACAACCACCCGCTCTCCGCGGGGCCCTTCCCCCGCTCGCCGCGAGTCGCGCTCCCCCGCTTACTTGGCGGCGGAAAACCCCCCACCGCCGCCTCCGCCAGCTTCCGCGCAAAGGCGCACGGATTCGCCGCGGGGCTCCGCTGCATCGGAGGCAGCAGCGACGGAAGGGAGCACGCGGGCGGCGGACTGAAGTCGGGACAACCGCGGCCGGGGCAAAACGGGAAAACCATCACCGACTTCGCCGCACACGCCGCGGCAGCAGCAGCGGCGATTACTACTGCGGAAGCGGCGGCGCAGAGCTTAGGCGGGGGAGCTGCGCCAGCCGCTGCGCCGCCCGCCGGTCCTTCCGCACGTAACACCCCTCCAAACGGCGGATCCGATGCGCGGCGACCTGCCGCCACCGCGACGGTCGCGTCGCCTTCCAGCCCTAATAATCCTGCCGCCGCTGTAGAGTCTTGCCGTGGACATAATCTGGGAGCTATTGCTAGTAGTAGCGCCGTCGCTGGTCGCAGCTCTCACGGCTCTAGTGGGCCGCCCGCGCAGGATCAAGCTGGTTCCGCGCAGACGGGAGGGTCCGCGCAGGCTGGTGGGTCTGCGGAGGTAGGTGGGTCTGCGGAGGCCGCAGGGGCAGCGGGTGCTGACAGTGCGCGCGGCGGAGTGAGTGCGGTTCCGGAGGTTGCCCTGGCGCCACAGGCGCAGCAGGCGCAGCAGGCGCAGCAGGTGCAGCAGGTGCAGCAGGTGCAGCAGGTGCAGCAGGCGCAGCAGGTGCAGCAGGCGCAGCAGGTGCAGCAGGCGCAGCAGGTGCAGCAGGTGCAGCACACTGCGGCGCGCGATTTCCAAAACGCACGCGAGCGCGAGCGCGACCCGGGGAACGTGCGCAGGCTGAGAAACGCGCGCGTTTTGGGGAGCGCGCGCATCAGCCTGTGGAACGCGCGCGGCAGCTTGGGGAACGTGCGCAATCTGCACAATGCGTATGCGCGCAAGCAGGGGAACGCGCCCGAGCAGGAAGGCACGAGTGTGCGTTTTCTGCCTGCGGCAAAGCGGATGCGCGGCGTTGCAGTGGGTCGAGTAAGCGGGCACCCAGGCCATGGTGGATTCACCCATGCCCCTGCTGCCCCTAGTGGGGCTGGTGCGTCTGGTGGGGCCGGGTGTGCTGCTCCTGCTCCTCCTCCTCCTTCTCCTGCTGCTGCTGCTGCTGCTGCTGCTGTTGGTCCTGCTCCTCCTCCTGCTGCTGCTGCTGCTCCTGCTCCTGCTGCTGCTCCTGCTCCTGCTGCTGCTGCTGCTGCTACATCGCTTGCTGGAGCACCTACTGCTGATCCACATGCATGCAACACACTGTGTTCCCTCCCTCCTCTTGTACCTCCACCTCCCTCAACTGCACTCCCTCCTTCTCCTGCCCTTCCCCTTCCTTCCACCGCGCCTGCCATGATACCTGCTTTTTCATCCCCCCTCGTCCCCCCTGCATCTGCTGCTGCTGCCACTGTCAAACCCAAGCCATGTCACTTGGACCTGTGCCTGTCCACTCCATCTGCCACCCTCACCCCCCTCACGCGTTTTGAGTCGACTCAAAATCGGCAGCACAGTACTGTTGCTCCCACTGTCAAGCCCGAGCCATATCACCTGGACCTGTGCCTTTTCACTCCATCTCCCTCCCTCACCACCCTCACCCAGCAATCGCTCTCGAGCTATCCTCCTCAGCACCCTCCTCCCCTTCTCCCATCATCACCCTCGTCTGATCCTACTCCATACTCCCCTCTCGCCTCCTCTTCAACAGCCCGTCCGGGCCCAACTGGTGTGGCTGTTGCTTCAGATTCTGCCTCGGGTGTTGCTGCTCCGATGCCCACAACTCCCAGTTCTGCCCGTGCTCCCGCTCCCATTTCTGCCCCATACCTACCGCATCAGCACAGTTTGCCTCCATCGCCCAAGTCTGCCTCTACTGCTCCGAACATCTCACATCAAGCGTCGGCGCTGGGTTTTTCCTGGGAAACATCACAGCTGCTAGCAGACATAGAACGCCGTACCAGCGCATCATTACTGCCGGAAATATCCGTTGCGAGGGGTGATGACGCCATGTGGCAGGCAGCGGTTGGTCGGCTGAGCGAGGCATTGGAGGAGATCAACTCGCTGAGGCGGATTGTGGCTCGGCAAGAGGTGCAGCTGATGGTGCAGCAGAGGCAGCTTCAGGAGGGGCAACAGCACCAGCAGCAGCACCAGCAGCAGCAGTTGCTGGCTTTCATTTGATATCTTCCAAGTTCCAACGCTAGTGCCTGCGGTGCATGGCGGGGCATCATCACATAGGACCGAGCCAAGCCAAAGCAGCAACAGGAGTGGATTAAATCACATACTAGATCCATGCGCGCAGAAATTGTGTTTGTTTTCCATAAAAAAACACTGGTGTTGAACTCTTTTGGGTAGGATAGAGTTACCGTAGGAATTGCAATGTCTGTAAAATATCTCAAGTTCCGGCTGTTTTTGTAATGCTTTCTTGCTCTGTAACGCGTATGTCAGTCAGCTCTTCGGCACTTTCTAGAGATTCGTCCGGCATTCCCACAAAAGCCAGCGTATGTTTTTGTACAGCTCCCACTGCTCCCTGCCCACACCCATCCCCCGTCTACGTGTTACCACTCTGCTCTGTTCCAATCCAAAGGGGGGACCCCCTCACATCTCTCGAGTCGCTCGACTGTCGATTCGACGCGCCGCCCGGTGCAGCCCGGCGGGCGGGCCCGCCCACATCACAACGGCTGATGTGTCACCACCACCTCGCGAGGCCCTAGGTTTCTCCTCGACCCTCTCTCTCGATTCACGAGTCTCTCCACGTTTTCCCTCTTCTGCGCTGCTCTCTGCTTCCTCTTCTGCCTCCTCATCTGCTTCCTCATCTGCCTCCTCATCTGCCTCCCCATCCGCCTCGTCACATTCAACACGACGGCACGTGCATGGCCCTAGGCTCCGCCATAGTATCTCCTGCCCGCCTCGCTTTCCCACCTCGCGCATTCCGCCGTCTCTCGTCCGTCGATTCTCCCACACGCCTGCCGATCCAACCGCTTTCCTTCGCTGCGCCGCCAGTCGTTGCGGCGCGGGGCCGCGCACTAGATTCGCGGGCAGGACGCAAACCCGCACTGCGCAAGAGCGCCCGCGCGGCCGTCGCACCCGCCTCGCGAGCTCGCGCGCGCAAGCACATCTCCCCAACGGACTTAGCGCGCGCGGCAATGGCGGAGGCGGAAAGCCGCGAACAGCCGCTGTTCTCGTTCGGCGTGGTGGCGGATATTCAATACGCGGACAAGGACACGCGCACATGTACGTGTCGCCGCTCAGGTGACTCTTGAGTCGACTCAGAATGTTCTCGTTCCGCGTGGTGGCGTCTACTTTTGCGGCGCCTCAAAAGTGGTGGCGGATATCCAATACACGGACTTGGACACGCGCACATGTACGTTGGCGCCTGCCACTCCACTAGAGTGACTTTTGAGTCGACTCAATCGCCACCTCTATCCATTGCACATTCAAGGACACGCGTACGTGTACGTTTGTCGCTTGCCCTGAGGAGGGGTGTTCGTGCTGTTTCTCCTCTCCCCCCTTTTTCCCCCTTCCCTTCCCTCCATCACCACATCTCCACTGCTTTCCCTCCAAACCCCCTCCTGCTGTCTTCCCCCACAACCAGCATCGGATGGCAGGAAGCAGCGGTATAGGGAAGCACCGGGCCAGCTGGCAGCAGCAGCAGTGACACCCACCCTGTGCCCCAGATTCCTGTCACTCATCCCTCCTTCACTGCCTTTTCCCCCTGCCCACCTGCTCCCTTCCCCGTCCTCCCTCCTCCCTCACAACCTCTCAGCATCGGATGGCCGAAAGCAGCGGTATAGGGAGGCACCGAGCAAGCTGGCAGCAGCAGTTGCGGCGTTTAATGAAGCGCAGCCGCCCCTGAGGTACGGCGTCGCCCCTAAGGTACGGTGACGCCCCTGAGGTACGGTGTTGCCCCTGAGGTACGTCGTCGCTCCAGATTCGTGCGGGTTCTTGGTATTGAATTGTTTGGGTTGCGTGCTGGTTGAGGAGCAGAGCACAGCATAGGAAGAAGAGAGCAGAGCAGAGAGCAGAGCAGCGAGCAGGGCAGAGAGCAGGGCAGAGAGCAGAAGAGAGCAAAGGAAAGCAGAACACAGAGCAGGGCAGAGAGCAGAGCAAAGGAGAGGATGGCTACCCCCTTTGTGCCCCTCCTCCCCTCTTTCCCCCGTCCCCCACTCTCTCCTCCATGCTCGCGCAGTGCAGTGGTTGTGCTTGCGGGGCGACTCAGTGCATGGACGGGAGGGGCTCATAGAAGAACAGCACATTCACTGAGTCCAGTGGTCACCCAGCACAACCACTGGCTTATGTCATGAGGAGCCGCTCATGGACGGGAGAGGCTTCTACTTTTGAGGCGCCTCAAAACTAGACCACTGGCTCATGAGGAGCCCCGCATGGACGGGAGGGACTCAGATTAGCACAAACACTCCCTCTCCAACCGCACACTTCCCCCCCCCCACTCTTCTCCTTTCTCCCTTCCCTAATCTGCCCCCCGCTCCCCCGTGTGTGCAGTGCAGTGGTGACGCTGGGCGATATAGTGGACGGCAGGGACACGGAGGAGGCCACTGTGGAGGACTTTAGAGTTGTGCTGGGGGAACTGGCCAAGGTGCGGTGGGGCGCGTGGGGGGTGTGGCTGTGAAACAGGTTGCACTCTGTTCCACCCATCACACCACAAAAAGGAGCTACTGCTGTCTGTCCCTCCCTCCCTCCCTCCCTCACTCCCTCCCTCCCTCCCTCCCTCCCTCCCTCACTCCCTCCCTCCCTCCCTCACTCCCTCCCTCCCTCCCTCCCTCCCTCCCTCCCTCCCTCCCTCCCTCACCACAACTGTACCCACTGCCCACCATCCTGTGACTATGCTTGCTCATGCCATGTGTGACTATGCTTGCTCATGCCATGTGTGACTATGCTTGCTCATGCCCCCACACCACACCACTCCCGCCCACATCCTCCTGCTTGCCTCTCCCATCCCCATCTCGCACCCACCCAGCTGCACAAGCCTGCACTGCACCACGCCATTGGCAATGCAACCACTGCCTCTACTACATACCAAGCAGGCTCTTCCAACCAACCTCTTTCTCCCTCCCACACCTGCCCACATCCTCCCTGCAGCTGCACGTGTCCCCACTGCACCACGCCATTGGCAACCATTGTCTCTACGTGCCTAATGTCCTCATTCTCTCCTTCCTCTCTGCTCCCTCTCACACCCCTCCTTCCTTCCCCCCATCCTCCCCCCAGCTGCACGTGTCCACAGTGCACCACGCCATCGGCAACCACTGCCACTACATGCCAACAGGTGTCTTCCAACCTTCAAGTGCCCAATCCCTCTCCTTCCTCGCTGCTCCCTCCCATACCCTCCCACTCTCTCCCATACCCTCCCACTCCCTCCCATACCCTCCCATCCTCCCCCCAGCTGCACGTGTCCCCAGCCATCGGCAGCCACTGTCCTTACATGCCAATGGCCTCTTTCAACCCCCAAGTGCATACTCCCACTCCTTCCTCTGTGCTCGCTCCCACACCTTCCAGCTGCACGTGTCTCCACTGCATCACGCCATCGGCAACCATTGTCTCTACGTGCCGCGCTCCACTCTCCTGCCCAGCCTGAATCTCGCCTCCCCTTTCTACTCCGCTGCCCTCCCCAACCACTGGAAACTCGTATGCGCCCCTCCCCGCCTCTGCTACCCCTCCCCGCCTCTGCTGCCCTACCACTGCTACTCCCCCTCACCACCCCTGTTGTATGTCTTGACTTATCTTGAATTTCTTGAAGCTGTTTTTTTCTTTCGGTTGCCCTTCCCTTCCCTTCACCCTTCCCCCCTCCTCCCTCTCTACCATCCTCCTTCACTCCCGCATCCTCCCCTCCATGTCAGTCAGCGAGGTGACTTGTGAGTCGACTAGGTGACTTGTGAGTCGACTCAAAAGTCCCCTCCTGCCTCTCTACCATCCTCCTTCACTACCGCCCGCCCGCATCCTCCCCTCCATGTCAGTCAGCTCGTGCTCAATACCTTTTCATCATTATTCATTCTTGAGAATTCTAAAGAACGACGCACACCACCCTCCGTGCTCCCTACTCCCCTAAGCCCCACCTCCCATTCTCTCTCTCTAACCACCTAACCTTTTCCCCCCTCCCCCCCATTCGTACTCCCCCTATGTCTTTGTCGATTCCATTCTCCCTCCCCCACCCCCCTCCCCTCGCACTTGTGTCCGATCGTGCTCAACTCCATGGAAGTCAGTCTCAAGTGGCCCTGCCACTGCCTCTGCTCCCCTGTCTCTGCCCGCCATTCTCTCCCCTGCCACCCTCCCCCCTACCGCCCCCACACCCCATCAGCTCGCGCCCGACTCCATGGACTTCAGCCTAAAGTGGCCCTGCGGCTAGCTCCCCTCCTCTCTGTCTCTTCCCTTCATCCCCCACCCTTCTCCCTGACTCATCTACCACCACTCCGTCTCCCCACTCCCCCTATCCCCCCCCCACACCCCATCAGCTCGTGCTCGACTCCATGGACGTCAGTCTCAAGTGGCCCTGCGACTGCCTATCCTTCCCTTTGTCTCTTCCCCCAACTCCCGACCCTTCTCCCTAAACAATCTGCCTCCTTTCCCCCCATTTCTTTTCCACATCAGCTCGTGCCCGACTCCATGGACGTCAGCCTAAAGTGGCCCTGCCACTGCCTCTCCTCGCCTCAGTCTCTTCTTGCTCTATCATCAGCCGCTCTCCTCTCCTTCCCCCCTTCCCCTGGTCAGCTCGTGCTCGACTCCATGGACGTCAGTCTCAAGTGGCATTGCGACTCTGAGAACTATCAGGTGCGCGCTGCAGCGACTTGAGTCAGGAAGGTTTAGGGTAGAGGGGGAAAGGGGAAGAGAGGTCAAAGGGCAGAGAGGGCAAGGGGCAGAGAGGGCAAGGGGCAGAGAGGGCAAGGGGCAGAGAGGGCAAGGGGCAGAGAGGGCAAGGGGCGGTGCAATTCTGTTCACTGGATCGAATACCTTGTTGGAAACTGTAAGAGCCATGGTGTTGTCGGTCACCCACCCACTTCCCAGCTCTTTCTCTCCCCCTGCAAGCCATTTATTCCATCTCCTCCCCACGAGACGAGCTCATGTGCGAATGTAAGACCGGGAAGTCTTACAGTGATTTACTCCCCCCTCCCATCCCCACCTTCCCAGGCCACATCCACCTCCAGGGCATGCACAAAGCTGACTTTTGAGTCAACTCAAAAGTCAACCCCCACCTTCCCAGACCCCCCCTTGCAGAGCATGCGCAAATCTCAAAAAAATGAGGGATTGAGAATCCGTATAGGACATCCTCCGTAATCCCTCTCCTCCCAACCAATCCCTTTCCCCTTTCCCCTTTCCCCTTCCCCTTCTTCCTTTCACTTCGCCTTCCCCTTTCCACTATCGGTCCCCTTCCCCCTCCCTCTCCCTCTCTTCCTTCGTCCTGTCTCTTCCACCCGCCCCACACCCCCCTTACAGGCAGCAGAGGCGTTTCTGGAGGCGCGGAGGGCAGAGGGGCAGGAGGGGGGTCACCTGGTGCCGTGGAATCGGCTAAGCCCGTAACTCTCCCTCTATAACTCTCCTCTCCCATCCACTTCCCTCCCTCCCCCCGCCTTTCCCTCTGCCCATCCTCTTGCCCTCTCTCCCCGCCAGGCCGCAGAGGCGTTTCTGGAGGTGCGGAGGGCGGAGGGGCAGGAGGGGGGGCACGTGGACCTGTCTCCTTTCACAATTCTCCCCCACCAGCCTCACCACTTCTTCCCCCCCCCCCTCCCCCTTCCCCTCCCCTGTCTCCTTTTCTCTCCCCTCCCCCCCCCCCCCCCCCCCCCCGGCCCTCTCTCCCCGCCAGGCAGCAGAGGCGTTTCTGGAGGCGCGGAGGGCGGAGGGGCAGGAGGGGGGTCACCTGGTGCCGTGGAATGGCGCAGTGGGGCGCGCACAGATGGAGTGGCTGCTGCAGGAGCTGAGACTCGCAGAGGAGTGAGTGGGGGGAAAGGGGGTGGGGGGGGCGGAGGGGGAAGGGTGGGGGAGTGGTTGGGGGAAGGAGATGGGGAGCTGGAAGGGAATGAGTGAGAGGGGGAGAGAGTGGCTCTCTCTTAGTGCATGCACACGTGTGTGTGGCTCTTCCCACATATACATGTACTTGCATGTTTACATGTGTACTATGGCCTGCTGTTGCTGCATGCTTGCACATCTGTTCATGTGTGTTGGTGTGCGATGGTGTGCGGTGGTGTGCGGTGGTGTGCGGTGGTGTGTGTGCACAGGCATGGAGAGAGGGTGGTGGTGGCACTGCATCACCCCGTTGCAGTGGGCTCAGCTCCCGATGACCTGCTAGCGTGGAACCACCAAGAGGTGTGTGTCAGACCCAGGGCAGGCAGAGCGGAGCAGAGCAGAGCAGAGCAGAGCAGAGCAGAGCAGAGCAGAGCAGAGCAGAGCAGAGCAGAGCAGAGCAGAGCAGAGCAGAGCAGAGGCACCTCCCTGGCCGTGTGTGATGTACACACTCCTTGGCCTTGCATCACCCCGTCGCACTTGGTTCCACTCCTGAGGACTTACTGGGCTGGAACCATGCACAGGTGTGCGCCGCACCCTGCTCACTTGAGTTTGTGCCGCCCCGCTCGCCCTGCTCACTTGGGTGTTTCCTTATTCCCTCGTTGAATCTATCTCTGGTTCACATTTCACACATGCATTTGTCACTCTCCTCCCCTGTCTGCCCTCTCCCCCCCCTCCCACCTGCTCCTCCCATACCATCTGTCCATGCATTGCGTCAGATCTGTCATGCGCTGGTCAAATCCCCACCAGTCGCGTTCTAAGACGTCTCAATACTCGTCTCCCTTCCTTTCCCCGCCCTTCTCCTCCCACACTGTCCGTCCATGCATTGCGTCAGATCTGTGACGTGCTGGTCAACTCCCCACCAGTCGCTCTCGTGCTAGCAGGTGAACCCACTTGCACCGCCGCACTTGCACCGCCTCACTCACACCGCCTCACTCACACCGCCTCACTTGCACCGCCTCACTTGTTGGTGTACCCCTCGCCATCAACCGCCCCTCTGTTAGGATGCGCATGAATTACCATCTCCTCGCTGCCCTTCTGTTCTGTGATGCGTGTGAATCTGTCACTTCCTCCTATAACACGGCACCTGGCCGATTTACTGAATCCTCCTCGTCTCCTTTGTGTTGCTCTAATCAGTGCGCACCTGTAGCCGCCCTTCCCCTGTGCCTCCCTCTGTTCCCTTTCCATTTCTGTCCTGGAACAGGCCGTCACCATCCAGTTGTCCCCTCTCTTTCATAAGCATGTTAACCCTCCCTCTCTTCCTTCCGGCCGTTGCTCTGCTCACTTGTCGGCAACGCGTTAACTGCACAGCAAGCACTTTTGAGTCGACTCAAAAGCTTGCTCTGCTCACTTCTCTGCTCACTTGTCGGCTGCAACGCGTTAACTGCACAGTAAGCACTTCCTCACTCTCAAAGCCATTCTCTCTTTCTCTCTTACCCCCGCTGTTCTGCTCCCGTCCCTCCACAGGCCACTACCATCCGGGCGGCTATGTGTGCATGGGTGGAAAGCACGTCCTCACTCTCGAAGCCATTCTCTCTTTCTCCGTACCCGCCTGCCTCTCTCTTCCTTCCTTTCCTCCCTTGTTCCCTTCCCCCGGCTGCTCCCCACAGGCCACTACCACCCGGGCGGCTATGTGTGCATGCGCGGCAAGCACTTTCTGACTCTCGAAGCCATTCTGGAGGCACCAGAGGGCTCAGAAGCACACGGGATCATGGATGTGTATGGTGACCGCATCGAGCTGCGGGGATCTGGGTTTGTCAAGTCGAGAGTGTTTCGGTTAGACCAGGTGGAGGATGGGAAAGGCGGGGTGGAGAATGAGTCTGAAGATGACTGTAAGGTGGTAGCTGATACAGCTAAGGATGTGGTATGATGGCACCGGTCTTCAGCGTGAGGTATTGTGAGAGTATGGCAAGCCAAGGCCCGGTTATCAATCATGCATTTGTTGGGTTGAAACTAATGACATCAAACAAAATGTTATAAATGACAATATGATATAAGGGTATCAAAACTGACTAGAAGCTTATATATATACTAGGATTAATTAACCCCAGGGTCCCATGCACCCCAAACCCAGTGCAATTCAGCGCAGTCTGGTTCGGTGCAGTGCAGTGCAGATCTGTGCTGAGCTGAGAGCTTCTGAGCAGTTTGCATTACAAGATGGTGCAGCACTTGTTAATGTCCTTGGCTTGCTTCACAAACATCTGTGGCACCGCCGCAAGATGAAGTGTGGGGAGCGGTGAGGTTGACGGTACCGTAAGAGGGGTAAAAATAATGAAGGCGAGGTATAAGGAGAGGAACGGAGAGGAAATGAGAGGGGAAGCGGAGAGAGAGGGGAGAAAGGAAACGGTGAAGAGAGAGACGAGCGAAGGGAGAGAGGGAAAGCGGGCAGAAAGAGAGGAGAGAGAGGGCACTTGGCGCATAGAGAGGGGGATAGGGGAGCGAGAGGAGGAAAGAGATGGAACAGAGGTGAGAGAGGGCGGAAAGCACAAATAGCGGAGAGAAGGCACTCAGTCTGCATGAATGGTAGCGACTCAGACGCACGTTACAAGGGAAAGACACGTGAGGACAGCGCTTCAGGGGCAGTCTATGCTGCTTTTAGGGAAGCTGTCATTTCTAAGAAGAAAATAGAGACAGGCATGGATAGAGACAGGTAGAGCTGTGAGGTTCTTGATTGAGCAGAGTGCAATGGAGCTGAGTGCAATGGAGCAGTGGTGCTGTGGTTGTACCTTGGACTGCACACTGAGGTCGTTGCTCATGGATGCAAGATTCTCCAGTGTCTCCCCTCTGTTGAGCATCTTGTGAATCGTTGTTTCCTGTTGATGTGCACGCATTGACACATGCATGCATTGACGCATGCACGCATGCATACAAATACAGAAAAGCATTGGATGGAAAAGCGGGACGGCTTGATACAATGGTTGTGACACAGCAATGAGAAGCGGCACTTGCAACTACAGGGAGGTCAGTGCCTGTTAACAGTCAGCTCGCTGAAAACACCCCATCTATCCTACTCAGCACGTTCTAGGCGCCTGTGTGTCACCCTGCCCTCCCCACGCACCTTCCCTGACCTCTTCCCCCTTGCATCTCCCTCTGCTCGCACAACATTGCTCGCCACTTGTACGTCCCCTCACCACACCACTACCTCACTCACCTTCCTGCCTCCACCCCACGGCCCTCCACTCACCACAGCTTTCTTGGTCTCGTCTATTTCGCTCCGCACCTTGTCCAATCTAGCACCAAGTAGGTGCTGCAACTCTTAGATTCAATACGTGGTTGCGGCTCTTAGAATGGACACCTTGAAAGTTGCTCGAGTAACCCGAGTAATCTCCCCCCCACTCGAACAACCTCCCCTTCCCCCCACGGCCCTGCACTCACCACAGCTCTCTTGGTCTCCTCTATTTCACTCTGCACCTTGGCGATCTTATCCACGTTCGCTGGGTCCTGGTGTGAGATAAGCCGCACAGAAAGTGGAAGGAAGAGGGGAAAAGGGGGAGAGAGGAGGGAGTGGGAGAAGGGAGTGTAAAAGGTGGGGGGCGGAGGTATTGAATGGAGAGGAGCAGGGTTGGAAGACGAGGAAGTAATAAAAACGGAGTGGGATAGGCAAAGAGCGAAGCAGAGACGAAGGGAGTAGGATGACAAATGGAGGGTATGATACGAGGGATAGGGTGCAAGGAGCAAGAAAGATATGGGAGAAAATGACAAATTAAAAAACGGGCATAGCATATACACTCATAACCACGAACCCAGTGCAATTTAAAAAACGCTCCCCTTCGCTGCGTTACTCTCTCTCCCTCACTCCAACAAACATGCATGCCCACAAGCACGTGCACACATCCACACATCCACACACCCACCCACCCACACACACACACACACACACACACCCACACACACACACACACCCACACACACGCGCGCACACACACACACACACACACACCCTCACCCACGCACACACACACCCACACACACACCTGGGCCTGCACGAGCAGCTTATCAAGCAGTGGTACGGATTTCTTGTTGTCCTGCTGTATGCTCATCCACGCGTCGCCCTCTGCTCCCATGTACTCCTCTGCCACCTGATCAGGTGCTCATGCACACACAGCACACACACACACACGCATATGCGCATGTGCACGCATGCACACACACGCATGCACACACACGCATGTACACACACGCATGTACACACACGCATGTACACACACGCATGTACACACACGCATGTACACACACGCATGTACACACACGCATGTACACACACGCATGTACACACACGCATGTACACACACGCATGCACACACACGCATGTACACACACGCATGTACACACACGCATGTACACACACGCATGTACACACACGCATGTACACACACGCATGTACACACACGCATGTACACACACGCATGTACACACACGCATGTACACACACGCATGTACACACACGCATGTACACACACGCATGTACACGAATGCCGTCACATCACACATTCGCATGCATGTGCAAGCACAGGCACAGGGAGAGGCAGAGGCAGAAAAGGCACAATACTGACATGACAAGAAATAATGACATGACAAGAATTACTGACACGACAAGAAATACTGACATGACATGAGAAGCTGCCATGGCATGGCGTGCACCAACACGTCTGCTCCTAATATCTCACAACCAAACCTCACTTGCTCTCTTGCAATCACCCACATCTTCCCTCTCATTATCTCCTCCTTCTCATTCCCCACCCTCCCCACCACTCTATCCCCCTTGCTTCCGTCCACTTCATCCCACCTCTTCCACACACTCGCACTCTCCCCCTCCCTCCCCGTTCCCCTCCTTCTCCCTCCACCAAACCTCCCCTTGCTCCTCCCGCTGCACCTCCTTCTCAAGTTCTCCCAGCCCCTCTTTTCCCCCCTTTCCCTCCCCCTCCCTCTCCCTCTCCCCGTCCTTCCTCCCCCCACACCTTCTTGCACACAGCGAAGCCGCTGCCTCGTGGGTACGCCTCGTCCGCCACCACGAGCACCACGAGCCCGCTCTGGTTCACCACGTACACCACGTACTCTGCACAGGGCGGTGGGTGGGGAAGGAGAAATGGGAGGGGAGAGGGTGGTTTGAGCGAGAGGGATTATTAGCAATAAGCTGTGCTGCTGCGCCTCGTCTGCCACCACGAGCACCACGGGCCCGCTCTGGTTCACCACGTATACCACGTACTCTGTACAGAGAGGAGTATGGGGGATGAGATGACAAGCACGTAACCATGAGCACTGGCAACCAGCCTGTACCACGAGCACCACGAGCCCGCTCTGGTTCACCACGTATACCACGTACTCTGCACAGGGCGGTGGGTGGGGAAGGATGGGGGGATGGGAGGATGGGAGGATTGGAGGATTGGAGGATGGGAGGATTGGAGGATTGGAGGATGGGAGGACAAGCAGTGGGGTCCAGGAGCTCTGTTACCACGAGTAGTAACAATCCGCTCGCTCTGGTGCAGCACGTACACCGCGTACTCTGCACAGGGGTTAGGGATGGGGGATCGGGGGGGATGGGGGAGGATGGAAGAGGAGAGGGTGGTTTGAGCGAGAGGGATCTGTGGCAGTGAGCTGCGCCTGTTCCGCCACCACGAGCACCAGCAATCCGCCCGCTCTGGTTCACCACATACATCGCGTACTCTGCTAGACGGGGAGGACGGGGCTGGCTGGTAACGCCCATACTGGCAATGACACCGGTAGGAGTGTGGCAAGCTAAACGGACACAACCATCCCGCTTCTGCCGCGTTGGTTTTCGTACCTCGTTCCTTGACCGTCTGTCGCTGGTTGTACGGCGCGCTGCGCGAAATCGTGCGACAGGCGAAAAGAATAAATTCTTTCGCCGTGGATCGCTCGAAGAAGGAGAAGTGCGACACGTCCATGGCGCTGCCCAATAGGATCGGCTGGCTGCCCGCCATTCGCGGAACCCTAAACAAAAGAATCCCCGTCACCTTCATCTCGCGAATATGCGGCGCGAGTGACGGACAAAGAAATAAGATCCGGAGGCGATGGGGCGCGCAGTACGGAACGGGTCTGCAATACTAGTTAGTAGTCTGAACGCTGTAAGATGCACGGCGCTACGCCGAGTCTGCTATAAGATGCATATGCTATTAAGAACGTTCCGCGTAAAGGGCACGAAACGGAGAAGTGAATCGAACGCGGAGAACTGAACAAAAAACGAATAAAGATAAACGGAATCCGTCAATGTAGAAGTAAACCCAAGGTGAAGAGTGAAGAAATGCCCCGCGCGTGAAACCGCGCCTTACGCGAAAATATATGAAAAGGGTCCAAAGAGCACGAGCGCTCGTCAATCGCCAATCAAGATTCGTGAAAGGGTGAATAAGCGTAGGCGCTATGATATGGGCGCACGAGCTGGGGTATGTTTGAACGAGCACAGACGTGCTTAGTTCGCGGCTGAACACGAGAATTCTCGTCTCGAGATTCGTTAGCTATGGGAAACGGATCACCACGGGATCAGGTCGCTAGTACGCTTCGCCTTGTCGGAGCGAACGAGGCTGCTGTATCAAATGTTTGAAGCGGAATGCGAGAAACAGCAGCAGACAGTATCGTCCGTCCGCAACTGTCGCTTGAGTCGGGCGCGAACGAGGAGCGCGGGAGAGTAGCGCGGTTGTGCTGCCCTGTGTTCAATAAGGCGGGGGAAAGAAATGGCAGACGAATTGATTGACCGTAGAGAGTACTTCACCACACGCACACGGCAACAGAAGGCAAGTCCAGGCAGGCAGGCGCGTTAGGGCGCGTAATCATCGTGCACCCGACGGTTCGAGCCGTGGCCGTCTGGGTGGCGAAAAGGTAACAGAATTCGAGCTATGTCGTGTATGGGCTCGCGAA